CTACAGTCACCTCTGTCCTCATCTACATTACACATGTGGAAGTGTTTGTAGCGAACAGAAGATATACAATATGTTTGCAGATAGCTCCAGCGTTGAACCGAGAAGAACGGAATGTGCTCATAGAGAACAGTTTAGCTTAATGCATAATAGGTCTCATGTAAGAAACTAAAGAAAGAATACGTAACAGCGGTGCCCATAGCAACCTAGCTGTTCCAGCAATTCTAGCTGTCTTTTTAGAGCAGTTTAAAGAGCACTTACTGTTTTGGAGAAAACAATACACTGTAAAGGAGAAGGTAGAATAGGTGAGGGCTGCCTCCACATCATTTTTCTCCACTTTTAGTCTCAGCTAAGGCTGGCCTCTCAAACAGATAAAAAGTGGAAGTATTTTTGGTGTAAGTAACACTTTTTGGGGTCCCATGTCTCTCTTCACCGTGTGGCCTGCTCAGTGCTGCAGAAAAACTCTTCTTGAAAACGTTCAGTGCTGGTCCTGGGTCCTCCAAACACATCATCTCCATAATAAATGAAATTATTCTCTCATCCAGGAAGAATTCTCATCTCTCTGCATGGGATGGTAGACAGCACTCCAAGCTTTAGATTATACAACAGACACTAATATTTTGCAGCAACCAATCATTACTGGTTTAAAATGAAAACATACCAAAAAAATAAAAACAAAAAAACACCTAATGAAAAAAAAAAAAAAAAATTACTACAGTGAATGGTAAGTTAACAAAAAAAATGTTTAGGCTACATGCACACAGGCGTAGGAAATTGTGCTCTAAATAAAAAAAATGTCTCTAATATTGAGTACGTATGCAGCTTTATATGTTCATGGCCTTTAGAAGCAAACAAAAGTAAATTAATTCTATTGGCTAGAATATTAATTTATTCTAGCCATTGGAATATACTTAAAGAAAATGCACATAGTTATGATATTGAGGAACGTTTAGAAGCGTTTACGGGGGTAATTTGCACTTACACACTTCTCTATGACAGCAGGTTTGGGGCATTTTTATGCCCCTGAACTCTGTACTAAAATAAGCATGCAAATGACACAATGTGCATATATACATGAACCACTTAAGGACCGCCTGCCCGCATACTGCGGATGGGCAGCTCATGCAGGCAAAGTGACATACTGGTACGTTGCTGCCTACATCCGGGTTTAGGATGCATGCATGTGCCCCCAGCCCCCCCCGCCAACACCCACTGTGACTGTACACAGCAGAAGTCTATCCTTTTCCAATCTTTAGAAAGCTCTATTACCTTGTTATCCAGGTCTTTTAACAGTTCTTTTCCACTCCACATGGCTCAGTATCTAGCCTGTTCAGTGCATCCAAGTAAGAGCTAACAAACACATTGTCTACTTATACACATACACGAATTGCTATTTAAAAAGTCACAGATGTGGGACTGTACAAAGATCAAGGGCCACGGTATGTAGACTTTTGAACAGCTCCATTTGGGTGATTTCTGTTATTAGGATGTAAAAAGGAGCCAAACAACTGTGATAATGGTTTTCATCACTATATTTAAATAAAAAACATTTTTTTGGTATGATCAGTCATATTTTCAATAGCCATGCCAAAATTTTACAATTTCAGCCAAGGTATGCAAACTTTTGAGCACAACTGTATGTCACTAATCACTGTCATTAGTATAGTGTGTGTGTGTGTGTAATATATATATATATATATATATATATATATATATATATATATATATATATATATATATATATATATATATATATATATATATATATAGAGACACACATTCACACACACGTACACATGCATACACTTACCAATCAACATCCACTTATAGAGATTTTTTTTTGTTACCAAAGACATGTAGAAGAATACATTTTTGCCAAAATTTAGGAAGAAATTTGATTTTTTTAATTTTTTTGGGGTATGTTTTATAGCAGAAAGTTAAACATTTTTTAAAAAATATATATATATATTTGTCAATTTTTTCGTTGATATCGCAAAAAATTAAAAGACCCAGTGGTGATCAAATATCACCTAAAGAAAGCTATTTCTGTGAAAATATATATATTTAATATTTTATATATATAAATTTTGTTTGGATATAGCATTGCATGAACGCGCAATTACCAGTTAAAGTAGTGCAGTGCTAAATAGCAAAAAATGGCCTGGTCATGAAAAGAGTAAAACCTTCCGGAACTGAAGAGGTTAAACATCCTAGGAGCTAGAGAGGCATAAAAAACAAAAAAAACATCAAAAAGCCTTTTAAAGTGGCATTTTTTCTGCCCATGTACGAGGAATAAAAATAAGCTGTCTCCTTCTAACTGATCTAACATAAAAAAAGGCATTAATGAAAAAATGGGCGAGTGAGCAGGGAAGCGCGAAGGTGGTGTTGACCTGAACCTGTGGCATCTTATTCATCCCTTATGTATGCAAGCAGGTGCCTTCCACAAGGCCCACCAGCATCAGCTGCTTAACCAGCCACTACTAAAATGTGAGCAGCAATAGAGGGTTTAAATATCTGAATCGGGGGGACATTAAAGTCCTTCCCCCTTTTCATTCCAATGGGAATTCATACTCAGCTATAACAAGGGGAGTAAGGACTGTGGAATAAATGGAGAGCAGTGTGCATGCACAGCAGCATCTGGGTCTGACATGGATTATTTGCAAGTCACAGCAGGGTAACACTGACAAGGCCAAACAGCAAAGGTCTCCACAGCCTGGGCCATTGGGACAGGTATCAGAGTCCAGTGAGAGAAAGCACACTTAGAGAAATAAACTGAATAAAACATAAAATCCACTGACCAGCAGGGCTTTTATAACAGAAGAGAACCTACAGGTCTCTTCTGTCATAAATATCCCCCCGCCTGTCAGCGGGTAATGTCATTTCAGCTGTATACACGCAATTCAGACCACATTTACAGTCCACGGTGATGTGACTCCTGTGCGCATGCGCAGGAGTAATGTCACTGCTGCCCAGTCATTCAAGTGGCAGAAGATTCCGGACCAAGAATGAAGACAGAGTGAAAATCGAAGCGCCGGGAGCCGTGACAGTTCAGCACTGGAGGCCTACGTTTGTAGGAAAGTCTGTCATAATGTACTAGCATGCAGTGCGTACTAGTATATTATGACTTAAACCTGCAGGGGGACCATTTTTTTCATATACTATTAAGACTTCACTACCACTTCAAAGTGGAACTAAAAGGCAAAACACAAAGCAGTACGAACAGGCAGGCATTTTTTTTTTTTTCAATTTAAAAAAAAAAAAAAAAAAAAAGAAAAATGGAAATGAAATGTCTCTTCTGCAATAAAATAAAAATGTACCTGCCTGTTGACAATCCTCTGCAGAATGTAAACAAAGCTGCACATGCGCATCCCTATTTACAATTCCGTCACCCGATGCAGTGCCAATGTACCAGGATGAATGGCTTCCACGCATGCATGGAAGTGACCTAATTCCGAAGTGGGCATTTGAGATGGCCAAAAACTGGTACCAGCAAGAAGCTGGTGAAAAAAATGCAAGCGCCGCAGACTTCAGACCGTAAGAGAGGAGTTAAAGCAGAACTGAACCCATCAATTTATCAGTTTCAAAAATCTGTTACATTCCTGGCATTCCAGGAATGCTGTCAAATTTATTTGTGACTCTACCAAACGGTCAAACCATCAAATGGCTGATGTCATAACTGATTAAATGTGCAGCATCATGATAGCTGCAGATCAAACAGGGGCCAAGATGGCAGCTTCCATAGCAAAACAAAAAAGGATATAAGGGTTTAGTTCTGCTTTAAGTATAGTGACTTTAGTTCCAATTAAAGCACAAGTTTACTTTATAGAGGCCAGCTGTACATACACACTCTATATTGCCAACAGTATTGGGACGCCTGCCTTTACATGCACATGAATGGCAACTTTAATGGTCTTAGTCCGTAGGGTTCAATATTGAGTTAACCCACCCTTTGCAGCTATAAACAGCTTCAACTCTTCTGGGAAGGCTGTCCACAAGGTTTAGGAGGGTGTCTATGGAATGTTTGACCATTCTTCCAGAAGCACATTTGTGAGGTCAGGCACTGATGTCTCTCTGCTCGAATTCATCCCAAAGGTGTTCTGTAAGGTTGTGGTCAGGACTCTGTGCAGGCCAGTCAAGTTCTTCCACCCCAAACTCACTCATCCATGTCTTTATGGACCTGCTTTGTGCACTGGTGCAAAGTCCTGTTAGAACAAAGTTGGAAGCATTAAATTGTCCAGAATGTCTTGGTATGCTGATGCCTTAAGAGTTCCCTTTATTGGAACTAAAGGGCCAAGCCCAACCCCTGAAAAACAACCCCACACCTTAATCCTCCCTCCACCTAACTTTACACTTGGCACAATGCAGTCAGGCAAGTACCATTCTTCTGCCCATTCAAACCCAGACATTGGCATCGGATTGACAGACAGAGAAGCCCAATTCATCACTCCAGAGAACACGTCTGCACTGCTCTAGAGTCCAGTGGTGGCGTGCTTTACACCACTGCATCCGTCACTTTGCATTGCACTTGGCGATATAAGGCTTGGATGCAGCTACTCAGCCATGGAAACCCTCCATGAAGCGCTCTACGCACTGTTGTTGTGCCAATCTGAAGGTCACATGAAGTTTGGAGGTCTTTAGCTATTGACTCTGAAGACAGTTGGAGACTTCTGTGCAGTTCAGCATGTGCTGACCCCACTTAGCCATGAAGTGGTAGGCCACATAAAATGACAGAGTTGCTGTTCCCAGTTGCTTCCACTTTGTTATAATACCACCAACAGTTGACTGTGGAATATTTAGTAGCAAGAAAATTTCACAAATGGACTTATTGCACAGGTGTCAACCTATCACGTTACCATGCTTGAATTCACCGAGCTCCTGAAAGAGACCCATTCTTTCATAAATGTTTGTAGAAGCAGTCTGCATGCCTAGGAGCTTGATTTTATGCACCTGCTGCCATGGAGGTGATTGGAACACCTGAATCCAATGGAGGGGTGTCCCGATACTTTTGGCAATATAGTGTATACAGACTCACACCACTTTATTAGGCACACCTTGCTAGTACTGGGTTGGACCCCCTTTTGCCTTCAGAATTGACTTAACTCTTCGGTGCAGAGATTCAACAAGGTGAGGGAAGCAGTTGCTGCTGATTTTTTGGCTGCACATCCATGATGTCAATTTTCCTTTCCACCACATCACAAAGGTGCTCTCTATTGGATTTAGATCTGGTGACTGTACTTGGAGTACAGTGAAGTCATTGTCATGTTCAAGAAACCAGTTTGAGATAATTTGAGCTTTGTGACATGGTGCATTATCCTGCTGGAAGTAGCCATCAAAAGATAAAATATAGCGATGGACATGGTCAGCAACAATACTCAGCTGGCGTTTAAACAATGCTCATTTGGTAATAAGGGCCCAAAGTGTGCCAAGAATATATCCCCCACAACATTGCAGCTGAAATTGAGACTCCTCAGACCAGGCAACGTTTTTCCAATCTTCTATTATCCACTTTTGGTGAGCCTGTGCAAATTGTAGCCTCTGTTTCCTGTTCTTAGCTGACAGGAGTGGCACCTGATGTGGTCTTCTGCAGCCCATCAAGATTTGGCGTGTTGTGCGTTCAGGAGGTGGTATTCTGCATACCTTGGTTTTATTTGAGTTACTGTTGCCTTTCTATCATCTCGAACCAGTCTGCCCATTCTCCTCTGACATCAACAAGGCATTTTTGTCCACACAACTACTGCTCAGAGGATATTCAAAGTCACTTAAATCCACTTCCTTCCCCATTCTGATGCCGGTTTGAACTTCAGCAAGTCGTCTTCACCACGTCTACATTCCTAAATGCATTAAGTTGCTGCCATGTGATTGGCCAATTAGCAATTTGTGTTACCAAGCAATTTAACAAGTGTACCTAAGAAAAAGGCCTGTGAATGAGATATATTTGGACACAGGCACAATTTTAGATTCTTTCAGGCATTTACCAAAACATATTCAAGCTATAGTTATATAATGGATATGAGCTGAAAGTGCACACTCTCAGGTTTAATGTGAGGGAATGTACATCCAAATTGGAGGAAGGGTTTAGAAATTACAGTTCTTAAGAGTAGCCATCCTCCATTTTTCAAGGGACCAAAAGTAATTGGACAATTGAATCAAATGCTGTTTCATGGCCAGGTGTAGGGTACTCCTTTGTTATTTCTTCATCAATTAAGCAGGTAAAAGATTATATATATATATATATATATATATATATATATATATATATATATATATATATATATATATATATATATATATATATATATATATATATATATACACACATACATACATACATACAGTCATGGCCGAAATTGTTGGCACCCTTGATATTTCTCCAGGAAATCATGTATTTCTCACGAAACGTATTGCATTAACACATGTTTTGCTATACACATGTTTATTCCCTTTGTGTGTATTGGGACAAAACAAAAAAAAAAGGGAGGAAAGAAAGCAAATTCGACATAATGTCACACAAACCTCCAAAAATGGGCTGGACAAAAGTATTGGCACCCTTTTCACAACTGCGGATAAATAAGAATGTTACAAGCATGTGATGCTCCTGTAAACTCACCTGGGGCAAGTAACAGGTGTGGGCAATATAGAAATCACACCTGAAAGCAGATAAAAAGGAGAGACGTTCACTTAACCTTTGCATTGTGTGTCTGTCTGTGCCACACTAAGCATGGACAACAGAAAGAGGAGACGAGAACTGTCTGAGGACCTGAGAACCAAAATTGTGGCAAAATATCAACAATCTCAAGGTTACAAGTCCATCTCCAGAGAACTAGATTTGCCTTTGTCCACAGTGCGCAACATTATCAAGAAGTTTGCAACCCATGGCACTGTAGCTAATCTCCCTGGTCGTGGACGGATGAGGAAAATTGATGAAAGATTGCAACGCAGAATAGTCCGGATGGTGGATAAGCAGCCCCAAACATGTTCCAAAGACATTCAAGCTGTCCTGCAGGCTCAGGGAGCATCAGTGTCAGCGCGAACTATCCGTCGACATTTAAATGAAATGAAACGCTATGGCAGGAGACCCAGGAGGACCCCACTGCTGACACAGAGACATAAAAAAGCAAGACTACAGTTTGCCAAAATGTACTTGAGTAAGCCAAAAGCCTTCTGGGAAAACGTCTTGTGGACAGATGAGACCAAGATAGAGCTTTTCGGTAAAGCACATCATTCTACTGTTTACCGAAAACGGAATGAGGCCTACAAAGAACAAAACACAGTACCTACGGTAAAATATGGTGGAGGTTCAATGATGTTTTGGGGTTGTTTTGCTGCCTCTGGCACTGGGTGCCTTGACTGTGTGCAAGGCATCATGAAATCTGAGGATTACCAAAGGATTTTGGGTCGCACTGTAGGGCCCAGTGTCAGAAAGCTGGGTTTGCGTCCAAGATCCTGGGTCTTCCAGCAGGACAATGACCCCAAACATACGTCAAAAAGCACTCAGAAATGGATGGCAAAGAAGCGCTGGAGAGTTCTGAAAGTGGCCAGCAATGAGCCCAGATCTAAATCCCATTGAACACCTGTGGAGAGATCTTAAAATTGCTGTTGGGAAAAGGTGTCCTTCCAATAAGAGAGACCTGGAGCTGTTTGCAAAGGAAGAGTGGTCCAAAATTCCGGGTGAGAGGTGTCAGAAGCTTATTGATGGTTATAGGAAGCGACTGATTTCAGTTATGTTTTCCAAAGGGTGTGCAACCAAATATTAAGTTAAGGGTGCCAATACTTTTGTCCAGCCCATTTTTGGGGTTTTGTGTGACATTATGTCATATTTGCTTTTCTGCCTCTGTTTTATATTTGTTCCAATACATACAAAGGGAATAAACATGTGTATAGCAAAACATGTGTTAATGCAATACCTTTTTTGTGTGAAATACTTGATTTTCAGGAAAAATATCAAGGGTGCCAACAATTTCGGCCATGACTGTACATACATACATACACAGATACATCTAGATCTCCAAACTCACAGTGTTGTCCTATTGCTAATAAATCATAACTCACATATTGCATAAAGTGCCAAAACAAACAGCGCAGTGTCCAAATTTTACAGTCTTTAGAGTAACGTGCTCATGTTTGAATTAAATATTGTGCAATCTTCCAACTAAGCTAAAGAGGAAACAGATGAAGTTCACGTTACATATTTTAGAAATTGCCGATTTGAGGGAATTATTTTTGGCACAAAAAGGAATTTTACAGACAGAAGTAGAGGGGCTAAATATGTCCCAACAATAGCCAATATATTTTATGAGAAAGTGAGAAGCAGAAGAAATTTATGGTAAACCCAGACCAAAGCTAAAAAGGTATACAAAGGATACAGTACATTGACGATATGTTCATAGTGTGGGAGATGCCAGCATGTTAATTGATCAAATTTTTGAGGGATATCAATGTGAACAGATATGGTATGTCACAGGAAGTTACAGTAGAGAAAAAAAGTTGACTACCTTGACCTAGAAATTTATAGACAAGGGCAAAGATATAGAAAATGTGTAAAATATGTATGAATTGTGGGAAAAAAATAAATAAAAGATTACTAATATTCAATATAACACTACAGGTTAAATGTATGATATAAAAAAAAAAAATCAATACATGTAGCAGCAGACATGACTTATGTACCTCTTGGAATGTATGTGTGGATTGCAATATGTGGGTATTTCGTATCTCCGGTCTGCACTCCGTGCGTCTGACGTCATTTCCGGTGAGTGGAGCGCACGCTGAGCAGTGCGTTCCAGCGGCCATCTTTGGGAACTGTGCTGGTCTCTGTGTGGATCCTCTGCTTTATCCTGTGGCTGTGATGTGGGATTCCTGAATTAGGAGGCTGTAAAGTGCTCGTTTTTCATTTGGAGGCCATGGTTTCAATAAATGTGCTTTTTAAAGTTGCTGACATGTGAGTGGCCTTAATCTTTGCTTTTAATTATATTGATGATTGGCAATATTACACTATTTGAGATTTTTTTTCTCCCGGTTGAACAGTGGAGCCTATTCTTAGGGTGAAGAATTCCATAGAGTGGATGCTAAAAGAGGGTTTAGGATCCCTTTAAAATCCCTAAAGGCTTCTCATTCACCAATATCTGGTGATGTATTTGATGTTGGTTTGCACGGGTGGAAGGTGGAAGCTTCTTTACATTTGAAGAATTTTTGGAAATTTCTATTTTCATCATACACGGACTTTTGGTGTTTATTATTATTGGGGACATTCACTATTAATTTATGGTTTATGATATATTTATTAGTATTATTCACTTTATGTAAAAAAGTTTTTATTTCATTTAGAGGTCTATTTTTGCTCTGTTTATGTATATTTGGTATTATTTGTGTTTTTCACATTGCACAGCGGCAGTTTAGACTTTGTAGTTTTTGATTGGCGCAGAAAGAGTTGTCACTTCATTTTTAAGATGGATGTTTTATTTTTAACAGGAATTCTTAGTTTAGTTTTCTGGTTTTAGCAAATTTTAACAAGTTATTAATTGAGTTCCGTCAGAACATTATGAAGGTATAAATAGACATATAAGATGGTTTTAGACAAAAATGAGTAATATATTTAGATAGATATGCATGTTATTTTTATATGCATTTTTTTTTATGGAATTATGCATATTTGATTGTTTAGCTTTTTTTCATTTAGGTTGCATGAGCATGCTAGTATATGGTGACATTGCGACATATATGTGATGTGAGGCTATACATATTATATATGTGAAGCGCAAAGATTTATAGGAATACGCAACTGGAATAGAGTGTACTAACATGGCGGCTTGCAGTAATTCTGGTAGTGTGAGAGACCATGTACTAGGAGGAGGGTTGGGTATAGTGGGAGTGGCCAAAGGTATAATGGTGAACCAATGACCAGTAGCTCCAATTCCTAAAGATGCCCTAGGAGAGGGACGAAACACATTGGGTGAAACATATCAGAGACGTCACATTCGGTCTGGGGAGCACATGCAACAGTGGCGCTTCCAGGTTCTGTGTTTTTCTCATCCATTACATACAACCGTTTAAGTGAGTGCAAACCAATTTGTGTTGTTTGTATAATAAAGTGTAATTATGCTATGGAAGGCCCCTGTGTCCAGCTACCATATTGGAGGAGCAGTGGAAGACAGAGAACAACAAGGAGGTTACATAAAATTATTATTATTATAATACAGGATTTACATAGCGCCAACAGTTTGCTCAGTGCTTTACAATATAAAGGGAGACAATATAGCAACAATATAGTTCAATACAAGAGGGATAGGAGGGCCCTGCGCCTTGGAGCTTACAATCTAGGAGGGAGGGGCTAGTGGTACAAGAGGTAGTAACTGTGGGGGATGGACTGGTAGGAAGAGTAGAAGATTCCATTAGCTGAGGGCAGGATAGGCTTCCCTGAAGAGATAGGTTTTCAGAGATCGCCTAAAAGTGAGCATAATAGGCAATAGTCTAATAAATTGGGGGTAGAGAGTTCCAGAGGATGGGGGAAGCTCTGGAGAAGTCCTGGAGATGCGCATGGGAGGAGGAGACAAGGGAGCTAGAGAGCAGGAGGTCTTGCGAGGAGCGGAGAGTGCGGTTTGGGTGATATTTGGAGACAAGATTGCTGATGTAATTTGCGGCAGAGTTATAAATGTTATTGTTAATGTTTTGAATTTTATCTGTTGGGCAACGGGAAGCCAGTGGAGGGATTGGCAGAGAGGGGTGGAGGACACAGAGTGGAGGCCAGTGGAGGGATTGGCAGAGAGGGGTGGCTGATACAGAACGGTTAGTAAGGTGGATGAGCCTGGCAGCCACATTCATGATAGACTGAAGAGGGGATAGCCTGCGATAAGGTAGGCCAATGAGGAGGGAGTTACAATAGTCAAGCGAGATATAGCAAGGGAGTGAATAAGTTGCTTAGTGGTTTCCGTGGTTAGGAACGGGCGTATCTTGGAGATGTTGCAGAGGTGAAGTCTACAAGCTTTGGACAGTGACTGGATTTGGGGCGAAAAGGACAGATGGGAGTCTAGGATTACACCTAGTACCCTGGCATGAGGGGAGGGACTGATGATTGTGTTATTGATTTTGATGGAGAAGTCAGCAAAAGGGGCACGGGCTGGGGGGAATACTAAGAGCTCAGTTTTGGAAAGATTGAGTTTGAGGAAGTGGAGTGACATCAATGCCGGTATGTCGCTTAGTAGGTTAGTAATGCGAGAGGAGACTGAAGGGGTGAGGTGAGGGGTAGAAAGATAGATTTATGTGTACCACAGAGATGGTACTTAAAGCCATGGGAGTTTATCAAGTGACCAAGGGAGGAGGTGTAGATGAAGAGTAGGGGCCAAGTAGTTGGAAGATTGCACAAGATTTAATTCAAGCTCCAGCACTTTACAATAAAGACTGCGTAATTTGGACACTGAAAACTTTTGATTTTTTTGGGCACTTTATGTAATATTCGAAGATTTATTAGAATTAGACTATATTGCATATTGAAGATTGATTGAAGGTTATAGAACCGCTGTAATAAGCGCCAGTCCTTAGTTTAAATATAGATAACACTATACACAATAGTAGTTATATCTTAGCGCGGTTAGTGGTGAAAATGGTCTTTAGGTTAAATTCACGAACCTTTCCACAAGGCTAATGATATTTATTTTTAGCCACGTGACTGTCATTTTCAAAGTTACATTTGGAAAAACTGGCACTTTTAAGAAAATAAATCTTATTCTGGCGTTTTAGCTTTGTGAATTGAGCCTTATGAGCCCAGTAGATGTCTACCAGCAATATAGGCTACCAGAGAGAATGAGCAGCAAGAAAGTAATGAAACTAGCTGTGATTTCAATAGGCCCACTGTGGGAACACATTTATAGTAGAGAAGTCATTCCCAAGTCTGGCTTGTTGCTAAGGAACAGTTTAATAAAATTAGGACTGCATCTTTTCATTTCTTTTAAATTTTTTTGTAGAATATTTGTTTTTGGTTTTAAATAACATACAAAAAAAAAGGTAAGGTACCGTATTTTTCACTCCATAAGACACACTTTTTTCCCCCCCAAAAATGGGGGAAAATGTGTGTGCGTCTTCTGGAACAGCAGGTCCGGTATTCCCAGCCGTGTCAGAATATCTGGCTAGCCGCTTGACTCTTCTCTGCAGCAGAACCTTGCCTGTTCCTCGGTCCAGCGGTGTCCTCACAGTCTTCTCTCTCCCAGCGCGGGCATCTTTAGTGTGGGCACCCGGTTGTGACAGCTTGCGGCGTCACAGTCAGGTGCCAACTGCACATGCATGAGAACGCTGCACTTTGTGAATAGTCCGGCAGTCTTCTGGGACCTGTCAAGTGTCCCAGAAGATGGGGAGGGAGGAAGTGGGAGCAGGTACCTGTCAAATTCGGGTACCCCTACCCCCCCCCCCCCCCCCCCCTCTTCAAAGGTCCGCAGTCACTGGTCATCCCCTGTACTGTGTCCGCAGTCACTGGTCATCCCCTGTACTGTGTCCGCAGTCACTGCTCATCCCTGTACTGTGTCCGCAGTCACTGGTCATCCCCTGTACTGTGTCCGCAGTCACTGGTCATCCCCTGTACTGTGTCCGCAGTCACTGGTCATCCCCTGTACTGTGTCCGCAGTCACTGGTCATCCCCTGTACTGTGTCCGCAGTCACTGGTCATCCCTTGTACTGTGTCCGCAGTCACTGGTCATCCCCTGTACTGTGTCCGCAGTCTCTGGTCATCTCCCTGTACTGTGTCCGCAGTCTCTGGTCATCCCCTGTACTGTGTCCGCAGTCTCTGGTCATCCCCTGTACTGTGTCCGCAGTCTCTGGTCATCTCCTGTACTGTGTCCGCAGTCTCTGGTCATCTCCTGTACTGTGTCCGCAGTCTCTGGTCATCTCCTGTACTGTGTCCGCAGTCTCTGGTCATCTCCTGTACTGTGTCCGCAGTCTCTGGTCATCTCCTGTACTGTGTCCGCAGTCTCTGGTCATCTCCTGTACTGTGTCCGCAGTCTCTGGTCATCTCCTGTACTGTGTCCGCAGTCTCTGGTCATCTCCTGTACTGTGTCCGCAGTCTCTGGTCATCTCCTGTACTGTGTCCGCAGTCTCTGGTCATCTCCTGTACTGTGTCCGCAGTCTCTGGTCATCTCCTGTACTGTGTCCGCAGTCTCTGGTCATCTCCTGTACTGTGTCCACCGTCTCTGGTCATCTCCTGTACTGTATCCACAGTCTCTGGTCATTCCCTGTACTGTGTCTGCAGTCGCTGGTCATTTTCTGTACTATGTCTGTAGTCCATTGGTTCAGAATATTTTTTTTCTTGTTTTCCTCTTCTAAAACCTAGGTGCGTCTTAAGGTCAGGTGCGTCTTATGGAGTGAAAAATACGGTATGTAGTACAAGAACATACACATAGTACCAAAAATAGAATTGTTGTATTCACAGTCAGTAGCAGTACAATAAAGATCAATAAGAATTCATGACTCACATTGTTTAACATTCCGTGGTGTACAACAGAACTATGTTATTTATCCAACAATCCTGGGAAGGTAGAGTCAAGAAAGACAGTCAAGGAAGGCAATAGGAAGAAATGGCTACTGAAGCAGTTAGACTAAAGGAAAAAATTATAAAAATGTAAAGAACTGAGTGTCAAAATATATTTAAATTATCTTCAATGTTGGGATGCATTGCAAGTTGAAAGCAAAAGAAAAACCCTAGCAGAAGGAAGCCATGTATGGGGTTACTAATAAGAAGGCGACATTCAATAAGTGCAGCAACACACTATTTTTAAAGGCTTTTACAGAGACCGGAGTATGATTGAATAAGATATGGATAGGATCTTTAGTAATAGGGAATGAGGATATTTTCTCCATTCAAGGACCTATCTTATCCAGAAATTTCTGAATCCGCAGGCAATGCCACCATATACACTGTACAAAAAAAGAGCCTGGGTGTGTGCAACCCCACCAACACACTAGGGAGGAGCCATGATACATATAAACAAGCTTCACCGGGGTTTTATATCATTACATATAAAATATATAGGAAGTTTCATTTATAAAATGTTCTCCAGTAGCAAAAAGATGAGGAAGCTTGCAGCCAGTTGGATTTTTCTTCATGTGATCACTGCTGTAAGCTATAGCTGATATCAATGATTGTTATGTTCTGCTGGCAAGGAAGGCTCCCGCCAGCATAATAGCTCAGTGGGAGTGATTCCCAAATCAACACTGACTGTGTTGATGGGGGAATCAAGCAATTATGCTAGAAAATTGCTAAATCTATTTGCTGCTTAAGTCCTCATGTTACTCCCTGTGCTTACCTCCCTTTACCTTTTTCTCAGTCCAAGAAGGGGACTTTACAAATAAAACTAGATTGGTTGCCCATAGCAAGCAGAATCTGGAAGCCACCTTTAGCCAGATACCGATTCCGACAAGACCCCCCCGCCCCGCAGACCCCCACAACCACAGCCCAGGGTTGTGGGGAAGAGGCCCTTGTCCCCATCAACATGGTGCTTGCTCGTCTCCCCCTCCCTTTTACTGACCTGTTGGGCTGCATCCTCGAATAAGGATCTGGTATGGATTTGGAGGGGAATCCCACGCCATTTTTTTTTTTTTTTATTTTGGCGTGGGGATTCCCTTCAAATTCCAACTCCGACCCAAAGTGCCTGGTATGGATGGGGGGGGGGGGGGAACCCACACCTTTTTATTATTTTTTAATTGCTGGCAATTTTTTTTTTTTCATTCAGCTGTCAGTGGGGATGTTAGGGATTCAAAGGTCACCCATTCCTTAACAACCCATGACAGTACTGACAGATACCAGTACATACCACATGCCTGGACCACTACTTAATTACTGCATGCATTAATGATTTATTTCCTTTTGTGAACTGACTTTAAGGTCTTTTTATGCTGTATTTACCGAGTGTTTTTGCTATTTTTCGGTAAATACTGCATACCATCAATAGTGAATTGAAATTTTCAGTTGTCGCATGGGATATGTGTTCATGTAACTGACTTGACTCAGGCGAAAATCTTTAGTGAATTGTGCCCAATGTCTCAAAGCCAGCCAAAATGACCTCACAGTGGTTGAAGGAGAAAAAGGTGAATGTTCAGAGTCAGAGCCAGACTTAAACCCCATTAAAAATCTGTGGAATGACTTTTGAAGACTGCAGTCCACAAACGTTCGCCATCAAATGTAACTGAACTTGAGCAGTTCTGCGAAAGCAGAGTGGGCAAATATTGCAAAGTCTAGATGGGCAAAGTTAGTAGAGACCCCAACAGACTAAGGACTAAAGCAAAAGGTGGTCCAACAAAATAATGACACAAGGGGTGATCCTTTTTCCAACTCAGTAATTCTGTTTTTGATTTTTTTTTTTTCCCCCTGACATGTTGGTTTTATATCTTTCACTTGGATGTTATAAATTGTACTGAGTAAATACAGCTGGATAAAACAAAAACTGTGTCTGTCTTTATTTCAGGCTGCAAAGCAACAAAATGTGATTTTAAAAAGGGGGGGGGGGGTTCTTTTCCTTTCTACACCCACTGTATATTGGGTCAATACATAGGGAGAGCATTTTGGAGTGTTGGTGAAGGGATACACACTCAAGGTGAAAGAATATCACAGACAGACATTTATAGGATCATTTGTGGAAGTATCACGTCATGGAACTTTGTCATCTAAATTGGACCAAGTTATATAAGGATTATGAACACAGTGGGATTTTATGAACACAGTGGGGATTATGAAACACAGTGGACTGTTTTTTTCATTATTGAAAGACTAACACATCACAGTAGAGACTGGTTTATTTTAATATATAGATTTAAATTTAAAAAAGGTATGATATTGGTTGTCAGTACTGCGTGACACTATTCTGATAGATAATTCAGGGATGTTCAATTTGTATCGCCGATGCCAGGGACATGTAGTTCTGGGTACGGTGGTTTTTTTAAAACCTTTAGCCCTGCTGCGGGCAAGCAGCAAGGCTCACCTGTCCAGTGGAACCGGGCGGCAGCGCTGCTGCCAATTGCTTCCACACAGCCCACAGTGCCAGCCTCCTCTGTCTCCCCCTCTTACCTCCGTCTTGCCCACCTGCGGGTCCAGGACCAGTGCAGCGGGTGCCAGGGTGTAGAGGAGATGGTGAAGAGTGGACACATCCACTCCCCTCCTCTTCTCCTGACCTGGAAGTGACGTTATGATGGCCCGTTGACAGATTTCCTGACCATCAAGTCTGGGAAAGAATGTAATGTAGTGCGATGTGCACTGCATTACATCTAGTTGAGTACAGGGGAGACATGCAGGTTAATAAATATAAAGAGAACCTATCACCAAAAAAATCGTCACATTGGGGACTTTGTCCTATATATGATGAAGAAAAAAAAAGTGAAGTAAAAAAAAATGTTTTTTGTAAAAAAACTAGCTACACCAAAAGCACATAATAAACTCCCCCCCAAAAAAATGTTGAGGCCCCCCCCCCCACATATATGCACGTACGGATGTAAATGCACACGTCGGGGTGCCTACACATGAAAAAGTCTATTGTGAAACACGTTATGTATTGGCACACACGCCAGAATGACAGCAATAATTCTAGTACTATATCTGCTCTGTAACACTAAACGGGTGACCTATAAGGGGCTTTAGAAGCGTCATCTATAGTAAATATAGGGTACTAAAGTTTGTCGCCATTTCATGAGCACACACAAAACTTGGTGCAACCTCATCTATTATTTTTTTTAGAAAAAAAAAAAAAAAGTAATTTATTGCTGTTTTGTGCCCTAAAATTAGGTTTATTTTTTTACTGAAATTGTGAGACCTCTGTGGTAATATCGTGTGACATAAATTGGAACTATCGCTATTTTATTCTCTAGGGTCACTGCTTTCAGAAAAAATATGTTTTGGGGGTTTTATGGTGCTGGAGACAGACAGGGAGGCGAGGCGCAATGGTAAAAATATTAAATGTTTTAAAGTCACTATAAAGCCCCTTTTGTTTTTTTAAAAGCCCCCAGACATTCCCAAAAATACCTCAGATTTAAATACGGTTTTGGTTAAAAAAAAAATAAAAATTTATCAGGACAAGTAGATTGTCATAAGGGACGAGTAAAACTGGAACCCCAATTTAGTCCCTGGACAAGTAGTTTTTTCAAAAAATGTCCACACCCTTGTCACGTACATACATATTCAGATATGTGTATGACTATACCTGTTTTTAAATGTGAACGGTTAGACAAGGTCAATTTGGTTTTGTTAAAGGCTGGCAATTTTTGTTTTTGATTTGTGTTGCCCTTCCACATGCTCCTTGCTGCAAAAGTCAGATATTGGTTGGGATGGTTGCCATTTGTTTGTCCAGTTTCTAGACACCTAAACCAAATAACCAACAGCATAGCCACAATTCATAGCATTACACAGCAAGAAACTGGGTAATCTAGAAACTGAAGGGCAACTTCTGCATTTTTTCCATCTTATTCTTTGTTTGATCTTCTCACATTTTTAACATCTTTATTTTAAAGAAAACCTGTTCATAGAGAATATGCAGGCTGCCATTGCTGACCTGTCCTAAAATCGCTAGCTGCCTGGTTGTCATGGTCATCCAATGTCTTCAGTGCTATGTGAATCACTGATTGCAGCAAGTAAGCAGATCAGCAGTTACAACTTCACTCTAACTGTTGGAATCCTCCATGCTTGTTACTAAAAGTATTGACACTA